GTCCAGGACTGCATCCATGCCTTTTATTTGATTAAAACTATATTTTATGCCTCAAATAAATGCTTCAGGAAGCTCACATTACTTATTTACTAAGTATATGGTCACAATGGCGAAAAGTAGGAGTGATTTGTTGATTCGATGGCTTTAGGAGACTTGATAAACCTATACCGGTACGGTAATCACCGTTGGTTGCTCTAAAGCCAAAAGACCTGATATTTTGTCACGACGATAAACTGAGACTGCTTTAGCTCAATATTAAATTCCGCCAGGCCCTCCTTCATCACAGGTTTTTGTGCTAAGTTAACTTAACGACAGACAAATGTATCACTTGCTGAGATATTTAAGATGGGGTTATCATGGTACTGCTGGCTTTTATTAGGTTCAATGTTGAACCACAATGTTTGTATGGGAGGGAGGAGGTCTCGTTGACTGCGTCAACCTGAAAGTCGTATAAAAGTCAAACGGCTGCAGTACAACGGCATTCATCCGTCCTCTTCTGGTTAGATCGAGCTACGAATCTCTTCTTCATTCACTTTCATACGAAATGAAAGTCTTTCACCAATGTTGAAAATTTTAGTTTTCATCTCCAAATTCTCTGTTACCTCTTAATATAAGTAACTTTATTGATCTAATCAATTTTTTAATATAATTGGCTTACTAAACGAAATTTTTTCACTTCCCTCCAGGTTTAAATCTAGAGCGAAATTTAGACTTACGTAAGTAATTTTATGATGACGAAAAAAAATCTGGCTATTAGTTGCATGTCAACGTAAATGATCCCCTTGTTAATTCACGATTTCTCGGTTACCAGTGTTCCTGTGAGCTCGCAAGAACCTAACTCGAATTGAACCTTAAAGTGGAGTCAAGCTTCGGCAATTTTTAACTCAAGCGTGCTAACGGTTTTAGTTTTCATTTTCTATAGCATGCAAATAATTTGATTGTACCTTTTTGCGATCTGCCTCTATTCCTAAGAGCTATCCATTCTGACAACATCGTCATTTATTTTGGAGCCTATGTTACTCTTCGATCTCATACTTTTTTGCATAATGGTCTTTGTTTAATTCACTAAGCCTCCGCTTCATAAATTTTAGCAACTCTCGGTGGAACAGGGAAATATTATGCCAAAAGCCCGTTTTTCACCGTCGTACTCTTCGCTTGCTCGGTCCCCGCGCATCAGCCACGCTAAGCAGACTGATTCCGTTGAAACCGACCGAAGCACTCCCAGATCAGCTGCCTCTACTGGGGAGGCGGAGAATCGCTATCGCTCCAACAGTCAGGCTCTGAAGGTAATTAGTTGTCAGCGCTGGGTCGGGATTGAGCTGTGTGTGTGGGTATGTGTGAATTTGTATTGTCTTTTCCTTTTTGCCCTATTCAGTCTACACAAAGGGAGTCGATTAGGGGAAGGCCCAACTTCTATTCAGATTTATCGAATCTTTTATACAAGTCTTCAACTTGAAGATGAAGTCTTGAAATTTAGTCTTGACGTCTCTGTTCCAGCACCCTATCTCAATAGTAACTTTGACTGGATTCATTTATCTGTTATTGATATTTTGCGTTGTGACTTTATTATGATTGTCTATTAAGATAATAGGAACGAGCTATCCTTTTAACTTGATTAACGTGGTCAAGTTAGAAAATACAGGAAATCATCTTTTCGTTAATTTCTAGAAAGTTTTAATGACATCTAATTTCATACGCACGGACACATACGTTTAATATTATTACGATTATGGTAAGAACCCTTTTATATGGGTGGCACGTTAATATTTAAGCTAACTTTTTAAGACAATTGAGTGCGTTAAGAGGCTCTTGCAAATTTTACTGCTAAGGTGGACTTCCGCACAAATTTGTAACTCGATACTTTCTTCGTAATAATGCTCGAGGTGAGAGGAAAATACATTTTGACTTAAGAACACACCTTTTTTAATAGTCTCCTTTTAAAAATACATAGTTCTCATTCAATTGTCACTTTTTGACTTCTTTTTTCTCTCTTCTTTGATAGCCGGATCTACGAATTCGGCAAGTGGGCATTGGAAAGCCTTTTAGTTTAAAACCAATATCACTTTGTCGTAGTTTTCTATCAAATCTATGCAATTTATTACACTTATAGTCGAGGTCTATTGTGACAGCTTGCTATAACTTCAATAATTAATACGGCCACTGAGTTTGCAGTACTACTCGGATGAAACCCAATTGTATTAAATTGACCCAACATATTACAAGACCTAGAATTATTGTTTTGATAACTTAGATATTTTTTTAAATCTATAACACGTTCTAACACCTATATTTTATCCTTTGACCAGTATATCCCATTTAATACTGTTACTGCGTCTCCTGCTCGCACCTCTGTTTCTGCTACACATACTATTATTACTTTCTTACCGGTACTACTTTCATTACTAACACTTTTAGCATGGTCACAACAATTTTTTACTGTTACTGATAAACTGAAGAAAAAAAATTTACTTAAGTCAGTGATTGCATCAGGTTTTTCTCGATAAGGGAATTCTCAGGTACTATGTAAAATTATAACTTTGCCTAGATATTGTTGAGATACTGAGATAATGATTCATTGCTGAGGATTGCTTCAATTATCATTTCTGATATTCTATATTAATCATGGAAGTAGAATTTATAATACGCCTTTTTTAAAAGTCTTTGAAAATAGCATCATTTACGTGGAAGTTATTAATTTATATTTGGAGTCGGTCGTGAATATGAAAAAATTCTGTCTGGGCAACCTGCTAAGCGCTTTATGGAAAGCTAAAAATTTTGGAATTAGTTAACCTAAATTATGCTGTTTATAGGATTTGTGATCCCAAATTCGATGAGTCTTTTATACATTATTAATTGAAATGCCTAATATCTAATTTACAAAGAAGCTTAGCAAATGTGTTACCCTATTTACTTTTTCGCTAGAGCTTTATATTATAGTTTAGAGGCTAGTAAGTATTGATTTATGGTCTTATTTTTTATTCCTATTTTGGCTAGTAAGCCTATTGAGAATTAATTTAAATGGAGGATGTGCTCCATTTTGGAATATTAGTTTAGGTCTGAGTAAGTTCTTAGGTTATTTGTGTTCAAGTTTATTTCATCATGGGCAATCAAGTAATTTACAACATATGGACAAAATTTAAATGTTTTTTATATGATTTCTAATACCAAATAATGATTGACCACTTTCATAGGTAATATTGAATTTTTAATCACGTTATTACCTTTTTCTGAAGTATTTTTTAGGGTCTTTCCTACTTGACATTTATAGCATGCATAAACATGCGTTTTGTTCCTCTTTTACTTACTTTATTGTCTCGTAAACGATGTCGTCGCACCAATTACCCGTCTTTCTTGCCATAAAAGAACAAAGACATTTTTTAAATTCTTTTTTTTGCCTTTTTGACCTGTGTGGATCACTTTGATCGAAAGTTTTATCTTCCCCAGAATGCTCCTTCAATTTAGCCTTTAATGTGTTTGATAGTTTTTTTTAATTTTTACTTTCTTTTAGTTTGTATTAGATAAATTTTTTAGGCTCATCGGTTTCGCTTTAGCAGATTTAAATATAATTGAACGCGTCACTACCCTTGTTTATAATGTGGATGGGAGATTTGTCAATACAGGTATTTGCAACCATCCTTTAATTTTTACTATTTTATTTTATGGCTTGAACTGCTATGATAGATTATAGTAATGCTTAAATTAGAGTTTTAGCTACTCTATGTCACTTAAGGTGGTAAGGGACTGATAAGGAATTTTTCCCACAATGGGTGACTGGGTCTCACGATTCAATTGTAATTCACTTACCCTTACTTCCCAAAGGGTATTTTTATACAGGCTGGACTGCATTTTCGACCTCGCCTGGGTATAATCAGCGCACCATACGGAGATCGATCCCAGGTAATGTAGCCTATGAGTTCGACATATTACTACTACGTCACATTGCCACGAGTGCCAGTCAGTCGCAGAGCAGAAGTGATATGGAAGAGACATAGGTTGCCTTGAAATTCACCTCTGGCCAGAGACCCATTGACAATTGTGGCAGCATGGCGCTTTTGTAGCATGTCGAAAATATGAGCTACACTATCCTGATTGGATTCGCATTGGCAGTGCCAATGATACCCATCCTTGAGTT